AGCTTGCCTACACATGGCAGAAGTAAGCAACACAGTTGGTAAACGTACAGCTAACGAGACTCAGCAATCAGCCTAGAGCTCTGCAGGAATTAGAAGAGGCCCTACAATGGAATCTTCAGAAGGCATGAGAAGAGACAGGAATGGAAGAGGAGGGGGCTGAGGAAAGGGGATCTGTAAATAGCCAGTTACGCTAGCCTGAAAAGCACGGAGGCATTTTAGGGAGCTGACAGTTCATGGGAAGTAGTGAGCAGTAAAAGGGATAATAAAGTAGGGCAATAGGAAAACGAAATGTTGGAGTCTTTAATAGTCTGAATTTGAAGTCACAAAGGATAAAAATAGAATTAAATGTGCACTGTAAGTTAATCTTCTATTTAAGGTATACCACTAATAACTGGAAAATGAAAGACACGTCTCTTACCTTTAGTATGTCCATTTCCACACCCCGAAAATGAGCGTAAGACACTAGCTCTATATCACTTTCCATTTCTACTAGGCTAAAACATTTGAATTCTTTGAAAAAAATTAAAAGTACTAGGCAATTTTAAAATGCAAGTATTTGTGTAGCTATATGATCAGGGGTTTTCCTTTACTGCAATTATCTAAATGCATATGAATTTCTAAGCAAGGGTTTATTAATAGTAATGGTCACTCTTTATCTCATCCATAATATCTTCTATTTCTCTTTCTAGTTTGATTCTTTTCTGCAACACTTTACCATCAACTAATCAAGCCATTCTTGTATACATAACTAGAAGTTGTGAAACACTAAAGTGAGATGATAGAAATTTGTGATACATTTGTTTACCATACACATAAAAAGACTGTTTTTTGTTGTTGTTGTTGTTTTTTTTTTTTTTTTTTTTTTTTTTTTTTTTGCTCGATTTTTTAAGATTTAAAAACACAAGTCCAAACACCAATAATAAAAACATGAATCTTCAAGCAATTTTTTTTTTTTGAGACAGGATCTTGCTCTGTGGCCCAAGATGGAGTGCAGTGGTGTGACCATAGCTCACTGCAGCCTCAAACTCCTGGGCTCAAGTGATCCTCCCATCTCCGCGTCCTGAGTAACTAGGAAGAAAGATTTTTCTTTGAAGAACAATTATTTCAATTAAAAATACTATCTACTTAATGAGCAGTTCAATTTTTAAAAGCATTAGAATGGGGCATTACAGTCGAGAAGACTTTGTGAAACATACATTCTTAATTATTGTTATTACCACATGGTAGCATGGATCAGCACACCTCAAGAGTTTGGGATTTTAATCTCTACTTCCCATTCTAATTCATCATATGAATTTCATAGGAAATTAATTTTCCTTTTCAGTATTCTGGGCTTACATATAACTTGCCTCATTGCCATGTTGGGCACCAACTTGAGGTATAAGGAATTTTGCTGTGTCACCCAAACATTTGCTGGCAATGTAGTGCCCCAGAGAGTTTTATTCTACCGATCACTATAGGGGAAGATAACATAATCCAATGATAAGAAAATCTTAACATATTTGCTATGGTTTGGATAACTGTCACCTCTAAAACTCATGTTGAAACTACCTCCAATGTGGATGTGGCAGTATTGGAAGGTAGGACCTAGAGGTGATTGGGTCATGAGGCTTCTACCCTCAAAAATTATTAATCTATTTATGGATTAATAGGTAGATGGATTCATGGGTAACTACGGGAGTGAGACTGATAGTTTTATAAGAAAAACCTGAACTAGCATGAACAACTCCCTCACCATGTGATGCCCTGCATCACCTCAGAAGTCTGTAGAGTCCCCACCAGCAAGAAAGCCCTCCCCAGATGCAACCCCTCAACCCTGGACTTAGACTCCATAACTGTAAGAAATAAATTCCTTTTCTTTGCAAATTATCCAGATTCAAGTATTCTGTTATAAACAACAGAAAATGGAGTAAGCATTTAATAACTGTACTATCCTCTTCTCAGACACATTCTTTTAGCAGGGTTATGTCACTGAATCTCCTCAGGTGCAAATCCACTCCTTCAGAATAGTAAAGAGCCAGCCCTTCTCAGAAAACAGAATAATAGTACCCACTATAATGAAGTTCCCTCTACCACAGATTCTGGCTCTCCTCAAAGGCCAGCCACAAACACATCCCAAGTCAATAACTGCATTTCTCTTTTTTCAGTTGGGGAACAGACAGTGGAGTGGTGAAAAAGGATATTTACTATATTTAGGATTCAAATATGCCAGTGGTTATGTATTATTTAATATATGCTACAAGCACAAAATGATTGTCTTTTAGGGGTTTGTTTGTCCTTTTTGAAAACAAAGATTACCAATATACTAAAACAAAAATTTAAATACTTTTTTTGCCTCTATAATTATTTATTGAAATCATGCTATTAAGTGAGAATCATGCAATTTCTTTCATACAACACAGTGTGATCCAAGGCAAGTCTAAATAAATACCAAAATATTCTATCACAAATAACATTAAGAAATGTATACATATTTTATTGTTTAATTGCAGAATGCATTTTCATCAATGATCTTAAAACACTTTTTCAGAAATGAAAACAAACTCTTTATAATGAGGCACTGGGAAGCATCTGTGAAGTTAAGAGTTTCATCTCATGGATGACCACGGGGTCCTCTCAGGGCAGCACTGCTAGATATTGAACTGGAGAGCCCATAAATCTCATTGAAATGAACTGTATTAGCTTGTTTGTGAACTAATTTCATTAATACTAAAAGAGATGTACACACAAACATTAGTCACTAAGATGGTCCTAACCTCACATAGCAAACCTACCTGATGTCCCACCCAGTGTTTTCTCTCCATCAAGTCCCCAAGATCAGAGGGAGAGACTGCCTCTATCCAGCAGGATTCAGAATGGAACCTAATAACCCCATCATGGCAACTGCCTATATCGTTACTGTGCTCTGCTGTCAAAGTATTTCTTGGTCAAAGTTTCTTTTCTTTTCATTCATTCGTTTTTCGTTTTTTTGTTTTTTTAGAATTTCCTTTTACTTGGGACTGTACTATCAGTGTTTTTTAATCTGTCAAGATGTACTTTGTAGGCCAGTGTTTTTATTTAACTGAAACTTCATAAAAACTGATACTGATAGAATATACTAGTCAATTAAAAATAACTTTTCCCAAGCTCAAACTTGGGAAGTGCTGCTTATTGATGTTTCTCAGGTTCTGTATCAGCAGCTCCAAGAGATCTAAGGCTGATATACCTCTGTATGTAACCTACATAACCAGCACTGTCTTGCACTTTTTGCTGAACCCACACAGAGAGTCACTAGGTGATGGAGACATCAAATTCAATCTGTCATCTTCTCCATTTTTACTAGAACAGATCTTACCTACACACTTCAAAAAAGAACTTATATCTGTATCATGGCCCTCAAAGGAAGAGGTCATGATACAGAAATCTAAGTATTTGCATGAAACAAATACTCAGATAATCCTACATTTTATTTTCTCGTTGGCACATTAGGGTTTTTGTGATCTCACTTAGTAATACAGTTAGAATACTCCATAAAATATTGTATATCACCATTTCACATAGAGATTAACATTGAGGAATTTCTTTTAAAAACGGGAATTATTGAAAGCTTAAATTCTATAATGTGAAAAATACTGACAATATGTCTGAGAAGATCTTTCACACATTTAATTAACAATGCTAAACCATGACTTTCTAAACTATAACCCACGAAAAAATTGTTTAAAAGAACTTTATTACGAGAAGATTCCTAGAACTAAACGCGTCATTGCCTGACCTAAAGAATTCCAGGTAAGTGAGGTTCACCTCCTGATTTTAACCAAAGGCTTGGGTTTCCATCTGAATGCCAGCCGGCCTAGGAGGAAACTGCTGCCTTAAAGAAGCGATGAAAACGAAAAGGTTCTCAGGTCACAAACTTAGCTCAGATTCCAGCCCCGACAGACTCGAGCCCATGTGGCAATGCTTTCAGAGCTTCCCAGTCTGTGAGTCAAGCCCACGACTCCTCCCCTCCCGGGGCTGCCTCGGGATGAGGTTTACTAACAATTTCTCCGAGCGCCGGCGGAGCCAAGAAGCGCTGGAATCCAGCGTCTGGGAGAGGCTTGGGACGCTCTTCCTCTGCTTCCGCAGCCGCAAAGTACCACTGCCAGCGCCAGGATCGGCACACACGCCGCCGCCGCCTCCCCAGCCCCCAAATGGCTGGGGTACGGAGGGAAAGGAGGACGCGATGCTGTGCCGCCCAACCCGGTAGACTGAAGCCGAGGCCCCGTGGGCTGTCGAGGAAATCGCGGCTGGGCCGGCCAGATCCGACTCACGGAATGCGATCTCCAGGCTCTCAGCGTGTTCCCGGCTCGGTGCTCGGCGTTCAAGGGGGTGGGGAGGGGCGAAAAGCCGCCCCCGGAGGCTGCTCAGCCGCCCGGGAAGCCCGCGGCTCTGGCTTCACGCGTCAGGCGCTCTCTCCGAGCCCAGCCGAGCCGGGCCCGGGCGCTCAGCCCGCGGCGCTCCGCTCTCAACCGGGGACGTGGCTGTCCGTCTCCCGCCCGCGCCGCGCCAGCCCGGCGGGCTCCCCGCCCGAAACTCCAGAAGAAAGTTGCTCCGCGCACCCCAGCTCGCCCCTTGCGCGCCCCTCCGCTTACCGCTCCCCGCCGAGGCTCAGTCCTCTCCGGCGTCGCCTGTGCAGCCTCCAGAGTCCGCTCCCGAAGCCCCTCACTCCAGGGCGCCCAGGCTCCCGGCCCCCTCCGAGCCGAGCCCTCTGCGCGCCTGCCGCGCCATGGGTGCTGGTGGGCGCCGCGCCCCGGGATACGCTGCTGCAGCCTCCGGCGGCGCTACTGAGAGCGGGGCTGGCGCGGGCGGGTAGGTGTGGGCGAAAGGGGCGGAGGGAGGGACGCGGCGGGCGCTGAGGCTCCGCTGGAGAGGGGAGGAAACCGCAACGTCACCAGAGCCCGAGGAGGCGAGGATGAGGAGGGGGAAACGGGGATCCCCTCCCCCGGTCGAACCCCGACCGCAGGCCCGCCCCGCTTTCTCCCGCTCCTCCTCTCCCGGGACTCGCCGCTCGCAGCTACGCCGGCCTTCCCCGCCACCCGGCCCCGTCTCCACCCTCACCCCTGCCCGCCAGGCCTCTTTGGCTGTAACTTGTTCTAGTTTCTTAGGAGTCAAACGCTTCGGGTTCGAGAATCTTACCCAAAGGAAAGGTAACTTTTAGAGGCCCAGGGGGAGGAGCTGATGCTTCCACACAACTCTGGGAGAGGAAAGCGAGGAGAACGTTAAGAATCTTACTACCGGGGCTGGTACCCACTCCTGTCCGCCTCCTCCCGAATAGTTACTGCCTCTTTTCTCCAGAATTCGGTTTTACTCTCCTCTCAAAGAGAAGTTAGTGGGAGAGGGTAGTACTTGGGGGGTGGGGGAAGAAGTTCTGTCCTTTACTGTACCAACAAAATACACTAAATCCAAGCGCATCGAACCCTGCAAACTGAACAGATTTTAATCATAGAAGGTCAGGAGCAAAGCATTTAATGTAGGTAGCTAACAAGAGGAAATGTATCTCACGAGGTGGGGTGTGTGTGTGTGAAAGAGAGAGAGAGAGATCCCTTTCCTCATGCAGTGCAGGTGGAGCATTTGCAACCTTGGTAGTCACAGCCTCTTGGAAAAGTGTCCTCCTGTTCTCCAGATGTCAGCCACTGTGTACAGACACACTCAGCCAGGTCTAACCAGGCCCCAAGGAGATGTCAGGTATGATCAGGGCCATCACCTCAGGTGTAATTCCCTGCCTCCATGTGTACATGTAATTAACCTACCAGACCTAGATTGTACAGAAGTGAAAGATTTGTAGGCTACTTACCCATCCATTAGAATGGGAGATATTTTACTGGGAGCAGTGCTTTTCTCCATTTTTCCTTCCTAGTGCTTTGAGTTCTGAAGGGTACCTCCATCCGATTCCCCAGTCCTCAGAGGTTCTCACTTCTATTTGGCCATATTATAAAAAAAGGTGGATGTCTCAATTTATGCTTCTCTTTCAGAAATTGCATTTAAGAGGAACTCCTTACAAACAAGTCAAGAGGAAGTGAGACTGTTAAATTTTTAAAATGTCTCTCAGGTAAACTACTAATTTGCATGAACTTCTTGATGCTTTAGGGAAGGACTGTGGATGAGAGAAGAGGGATCTGGAAATTGGAACTAAGTTTTGTTCAAATCTAAACTTTGCTTTTACTACTGTGGGCCTTGGAAAACTAACATTAGAGCCTCAGTTTCCTCGTCTATAGTGTAAAAATAATACGTTGGTTGAAAAATTGTAGAGAGGATACAATGAAAATAGCTAATGTTTACTGAGAGTTTACTATACCATACCAGATGGTCACTGTGCTAAGGGATTTACATATACGAATTCAAGTACTAGAGAGAATAAATTGTGAAAGTGCCTAGCTGTACTATGTAATCCATAAGTGTTAATTTCCATTTATCTTCTCAAATTTGAAAGAGACTTTAGAAAAAAACATCTGGTTTAATTTACTTATAATCTCTCATCAAATATCTAGTTCAGTGATTCTCCAACCTAGAATTTTAGAATCAGCAGGGGAGCTATAATAAATTCTTTCCAATGGGGACCCCTACACAGATCAACAAATCAAAATCTCTGGGGTTAGGGTCTAAGCATCAGCATCTGCATTTTAAATCTGTCCCATATGATCACAAAGTGCAACCAGGATTGAGAATTCTTCAAAGGAGGCAGTACTCACTGCCATTTGCTCCCCTTTACCCCCACATCCTCCACAGTTTTGCTTTTGAGCGACCTGTGAATCGGCCTCTGGATGACATTCACTTCGTGCAAAGGGCCTCCCCATTGCAGTAAGTCTCAACGGATCTGCTGTTCTGCTGTCTGGATCTACAGAATACACCTAGTCTTGATTCCACAGGAGAATACTTCAATTTACCTGAGTACATATTAACTTCATCAGCTTTTCTTCATCCATTAGGAAAGCCTTCAGTAGGAGATTTACTTTGCCAACAGCTCTCTCAAACCCTGATTCCAAGAATTGAATTTAAGGTTTCACCCAAGTGCCAAAGTAGAAAGATGTTTAATGGCTTTGTAATTACTGTATTTCCCTAAGTATATCCTTGGAGCTTTTATGGCAGCAATATTACCCAGTTGACTCCTATATTACAATCTACTAAATAAAATCTTAAAATGTTAAAAGTTAAATTGGAGAATCACTGAACTAGACAGCTACACTCAATGCAGTGTTCAGCACTTAACCTGTGATTCTACTGAATTTTATTGTGTTAAATTAGGCTTTTTAGCTTGTTGACATGTTGGGTATCATTGATATAACTCAATTTCATGACCTCTGTAAATCCAGTCTGTATGCCATGTCATCATTTAAGTTCTCATTCTCAGGTACCCTCCTCTGCCAGCTGACACTGGATTTAAATGCTACTGATGAAATTCTTATCAGTTGAGGACCCACATGTTACCTTGTCCTGTTTTTGTCTGTTGTCCCAGGGTAGCAGCTGGTGTACATGGGTGCATGGCACTTTTGTAGGAATTAGAAAAGGGTACTCCTACTGTCACCTTAGCTGAAGGATTAAAAAACAGTGGCCGCTTACTCCTAGATGCAGCCCCAAACAGACAGCAGAGGAGCTTTGTCTATTGGATATCTTTGCTCTACTGTAATATTGTCAAAAAAAGGAAATGACTACTTAGTGAATTCTGGTTCATGTTTGCAAATTTGTGCCTGCCTTTTCAAGTACCCAGATGTCATTCTAATAATAGGTTATTTTGCTCAGTATCTGTGAAAAGTTTCTTGCCTTGGTTTCAGACTAAGGCAAGAACTGGAACTCCATTTGTCCACCTCCAGTTTTTTAGTGTTCATCTCCCTCTATGCTGATTCTAGCTGAGAGTCCTTACTGGTAAACCCTCCTTGCCGAGATGGAAATTTACTAGGCAAGAAGAAGTTAAGCTTTAGACAGCTAGGACATATTTTCTTACAAGTTTCTTCACCTATCTTTTCAGTTAACTCTTTGAAAGTTTATTTTATCCCTTATATTTAAAGGTTTGCCTTTACATAATAGAGAAGACAAAAAAGGGAATTAGTTTTGTTTAGTCATTGATTTATCTTAAGCAGAGGCATCCCTTCCATGTTCTTCTCGTTTGAACAAAATGAAATGTATTTGTTGTTGTTGTTGTCCTTAGTTTTTTTTGGCTTTAGCCTAAAATAACAGACTAACAATATTATAGGGCTGTTACAGGTATGTGGTTTCTGTTCTCCCCTTGAGTTTAATTTATTAAACTAAATTTTAATCTGCCTTTTAGGTTTTACCAACCAGTCAGCTGGTCCATGACTATGCATCTGCTTCCATCCTTAAAATGCTTTTTTTTTTTTTCCCCTTTCTCAGGCCAAAATTATTCCATTTGTAAAACTGCCTTGCCCTGCACCTATAGATTCTCCCATCTTCAGATCACAGAAGAAATAAGATCATTTTGGTTTGCTTAAAGCCATACTGCCATGTACTTGTACTTACTGACTCAGTGATAATCTCCTGAGCTTTCCCTTCCATTTCTGAGCGATCAGCCCTGGCCAGGCATTCTCCAGAGGCTTCTCCAAGGTTCCTTGCTCAGGCCTGCCTCCCTGCCTTTCTCAGCAGTAACATGCTCTTCTCCATTACCAAGACTGCTCTGCTGCAGCTGCTTCATCTCCAGATGACTCAAGCTTCCTGGGCTTAGTTTTCATCTTTAAAACAAAATGAAACATTTACCTACATTCTTAATCATAATTCAGTTCCATCTCAACTGTGAGTCACAATTTGAGATTTCTTCTGCAGGTACATACTTCCTGGACTTGCAGTCTTCTAATAGGTCATGAAATAGACCAGGCACAGTCACATGTGTCTCCTTTTACCCTCACAGGCACTGACTGGTGAGGAAACAGAGGCTCTGAACCTTAAAGTGAATTTCCCAAGCCATAAGTGGTTCAGACCACATATGATTATGTTTTCTTATATAAAACATAGGATCCTTCCACTAAACCACTTGGCATAGACTAACTTTTTGCATCTAAAGCCTCATTTGCTGTTTGAGTATCCTGGCCTCTGTTGAAAGCTATTCGCCACTCATTGACAAGCGACTTTTGAAATGGATGATTTTATATCACCTCTTATAAACTATCCAAGGTGTCCCAAACGCCTTCCAAAATATCGTATTGTTCTCTGAAATTGCAAAAGTTATTATTGGTATTTGCTACATGAATGAATGAAATTAGATGTTATTCTTTTCCTCAGATTTACTGAATAGACCAAAAGGAGTGATCATTTAATATTATAGGCTCCTTCATGGTAGAGACTCTCTTCTTCATTTCTATAGCCATTCCTTATATTTCCCGGCAGAGGGCATCTTTATTAAATTAGAATTCAGTTTTCAGATTGTGGTTGTGTCCCAGTCTAGACACAACGGTGGATAATATAATGTGTTCATCAAATAAGAGCATGGACTTTGAAGTTGAACAAAACAAGCCTGAAATCTAGATTCTCTGTCACTAATTGTGTGACCTTAGGCAGGCAAGTCATTTAATATCTTTGAGTTCTACCTTTTCATCAGTAGGATTTTGATATGTATACTTTTTCATACAGTTTCTGGAAGGAGCAAATAAAATGTTGTATATAAAATACCGCCCAATAATGAGAACTCAATAAATAGGTGTTTATTGTCATAACTTAGAATGGTTCTGGGGGCTGTCAGTGAGAGCCTTTGGAATCAGTCTCATGTGGACTGGAACATGCCTGGGCGTTTTTCAGGCAGGATCTGAACCAATTAAGGTGAATGATACCCTATCTCTCACAACCCTGCTAAAAGTAAAACTGAGGTCATGCCAGCTTTTGCAATAGTTTGGAAACCAAGCCTTTTATGCCCTTCAGGAGGAGATAAGGATTGTCCTGGCAATATTCTATAATAGTAATTCTAACCCCTGGCTGCATATTAGCATCACTTGGGAGAAACAAAAACACACCATGCCCAGACACACTCTCAGAATTCTGATTTAATTCCTTCTGTGATGAAGTCCAGGCACCCTATATGCTTTTAAAGGTACCAGATAGTTCCAATACGTAGCCAGAGTTAGAATGAATGCTACAAAGCAGTGATTCCCAAACTTTGCTGCACATTAGAACCATTTGGAGAGCTTTAAGAACTTCTGATGCCCCAGCTATAGTCTGTACCAGTCAAGTCAGAATGTCTCAGGTATTAAAAATTCTGTGATTCCAATATACCAAAAGTTTGGGAACCACTATTTTATAGAGTTTTACTAAATAGACTGAGCACAGTGGCTCACACCTGTAATCCCAGCACCTTGGGAGGCAAGGTGGGCAGATTGCTGGAGCCCAGAAGTTCGAGATCAGCCTGGACAACATGGCAAAATTCCATCTCTACTAAAAACACACAAAAAATTAGCCAGGCATGGTGGTGCGTGCCTGTAATCCCAGCTACTCAGGAGGCTGAGGCATGAAAATTGCTTGAGCCAAGTGGTGGAGGTTGCAGTGAGTCAAGATCACACCACTGCACTCCA